ACATGTTGTGTAGGTCTCAGGGGTATGGTAATATGGTGGAAGATTGCATTTACATTTTGACAGCTTCAGATAGCATGTTACTGGAGAGGTTCTGATGATTGTCTGGGGGAGTCTGTCCTCTCTTAGCCCTTAGGAGATATGCCAAGGTAACATTATCGTGAAGCCTTGTCTGCAGTGTCATTTAGGGCTGTTATGTCTGTAATGACCTGTGAACAAACTACTGAGGTGCTGCTAGGAGTTTACACACAGTGGGGCAGAACTCAGCCTTGGCCAGTGGCCTCAGGGCTTATCCAGGATCTCTGGTGGATTTGTAGCTCTTGGTGTAAAGACAGTGCTCCTTTGACTACGCTTCTGATATATTTGATGTTTTCTTTCTAATATTAGCCATGTCTCCACCAGCTGGAGTGTGAGCTATGAATGCTGACTTGCAGATAAAATGTAGGGCTTTTTTCCACACACTGTCTCCAAACCCATGTGTTTAATTAGGCAGATTTAGGGAGGAAAATTCTGTCCAGATCCGTTATGCATGAAGATATAGGTACAAACTCCTGTCTCAAGAAATCCCTATGCTGCACACAAGGAAGCAGAAAGGATATAGGAGGAAAATTATCACTACAAGTCCCATTTCTTTCCTAAGCATCTGCTATCAGGAAATCTCAGAGACAGGATACTGAGCTAGATGGATATCAGCCTGACCCAGGGCTCATTCTTATGTTCTATTTATTTATCTAAGAAGGATAAGGAAGAAGCCATTAGCTCATTTTTACTCTCAATACGCTCCTTTGATTTTGAATGAGGGATAACTTTACCACACTACCATGGAGGAAGATACCTTGTCAAGAAGATGGAGAAAGCTTGTGAATTAACATGCTTCATCACCCTGCTCAAGAGGCCCAGAAGGCAAACACTGTATCCTGTAGCTCTTGAAAAACATTGGCAAAACTATTTTCCAAACTTTTCAGGTTGAAAACTTCCATCTTTGAGAATGATTAGAGTAATTTTTTCTTAGTTGTTAGGGAGAGACCAGTGCAAGAGCCTGACAATCATAGAGAAAGCTAGTCTATGGTCCTGGCAGCTTATGGTTGGTCTGACACTTTACAGATGCATACTGTGTGACAGCTGCAGGTTGTAGAGGGACTTTCTGCTCCCTAAAACTTATTTATTCCTGTCTTTCTCAAAATGGGGGGTGAAGAAGTGTAAAGCCTATCAATAAGATAGGGGAGAGGGCCTGAATCCAGACAAACCAAAACATTTAGAGATTCTGCTAATGCTATGAAGATGAAAGGAATCCCCAAATAAAAAGAAGCCAGAGACATATTTAGCAGAGCCTCATTCCTCAACAGCCAATTGGATATAGGCAGGAAGGTCTCCAGGCACATCTCAGAAGTTGTTTTCCCTTATAAAGTAATGGCTTGTAATGTTATGTGCAAAGGGGTTACTTTATTCCTGGTTTTCTATAGCAGTTGGGATAAGACTGCAGCTTTTGCCCTCCTTTACCAAAAAAGTATGGCATCTACAAACTGGTGTGTGGCCTCTGAGCTAGCATTCCTCAGGCCAACTAGCTGAAGCTCGTTTCCTAGGCGTGGTAACAGTACAGCTCCTGCTACTGTGGAGTCCCAAGCACATTTTGTGTCCATATGCACAAGTTACTGAAAAAGAATGAACTTAAGGAGCATGTAGCCAAGAGTTTCCACTGAAATCCTGAAAGGTGCTTGAAGTCATTAGGGAAGTTTCCAATGTGCATGGGAGCATTGCTAGTATCACTATAAGGAGGTCAGGGAAAAGGGTATGATCTTTGATCATACTCTGGACATGCTCCTGTGATGGAGACTGCAAAAGGGTTCAGCATGAACAAACCCAAAAGTTCTCAGGGGAAGCCAAATAAAACCCATAGGTTTTGGCTATGGATACAGTGAAAGACCTAGAACCTTGGCAAACTCTTGTTTGGGAGTTTCCACACAAATGAGTGGGATGAGTACTGAGAAATAGGCAGCAGAAACAGTGATGGAAGTGGCCTCCAGAGGGGAAGCTAAACTACTTTCAGGAATGGTGTTGTGTTCTTTTTACTGGAGGGAAAATAAACCCCAAATATATACGTATATCTATATTTGGGCTAAGCTGGTATGTGTCTGTAGCTACAGAAGAGGGTTCAGAGGTTTGATCCCCAGCATTAGGCTTCGTTCTCAGAAGACTTCTTCTGTTCAGTTATCTTTAGGTTCTTATTCCTGTAGCATGCCAAGTATATTCTTCCCTCACCCTCTACCCCTCTGGCAATGACCTATGTTGCTGAGAAGAAAGGTATAAACTACCAATGTAATATTTTTCCCATGTGTTTTTTTTTCTGTAGTAATATCTGTGTGATCATAACTCGAGCATGGAATCACTAAAAAGAAAAGAAATACCTATATTCTATAATGTTCTTCAAACCCAACTGATCTAATTTCCTTGCATAGTTCACCTGTTTGCCTTCCTTCCTTCTTTCCTTCCTGCCCCAGCACCTTCCATAACGTAACGCCCCAGAGGAGAGCTGCCTGTTGAGTGCTGGCTCTCCATTGTGTGCTGGAGGCACGGTTGTACAGCATCTCTGCATTCTTCCTGTGCTGTTCCTGTGTATCCGTCACTACTCTGGGCTTACTTCTCCCCTTCTAGTTTGAATAGCCCTGTCTCTAACAAATATCCTTCATATGGTAGGTCCCACCAAACAACCGGTGTTTCCTCTTTATAGCCATATCAGCAACCGCCTGCTCTGAAGTAGCCTTTGTGTCAGCCATATGTTTTTCATAAACACCCTGAAAACTAGGATTCCAACATCTTTGGTGCCCATGACAGGTAAGGTGATGCGTGATCCCCACCCTAAGAGCCATTCCTCATAGCAGGCAAGGCAGTGGTGCTGCCATCGTTGCCACCACCGATACACACCAGGCTACATTTATAGGAATTGTGATGAAGCTGCACAGGGATATGAAGGTGTCTGTGGTATCTGCGTGGCCACTGATGACTCTAATATCCACCGAGGCCTCTTGCAGAAAACTGTTACCTGTATTTCTAGCTATGCTGAGGTGCAGTGTGAATGGTGTACCAGTTCTACTGAAGGGTTGTTTACATGGCTCTGCAATATAATAGGTGCTGTAACCACTATAGCATCATTTTCAGTGAGGTTTTTTGGGAGTGTGAACCTCTTCTCAATAAGGTGAGGAGTTTGGATTCTTTTTGGTCTTTGTCCCAGTCTTGGTATTTCCAAGGAGTTGTAGTAGATGATACTTCTGTAGGTGTTGAAGGTAACTGATATTTGTATCAAAATTGGACATGATACTGCACTGAAGGATTCTGCTGTGTGAAATTCTCTTTCCCCTTGACCTGAGTTCCCCGATCTAATACCATACGTTCTATATGAGGTACGTAATTTTTCTCAGCTATATTTCTGAGTGTTGTTTGAAAACAAAGAATTTGGGTTTGGCTGTCCTTTGAGTATCAGTTGAAGATACGCAAAAAAGGATCTGCTTATATCCTCTGCTTTAGGTTGCTTCCCGTGGTGGGGGTTTTTCCTTTTATTTTTTTCAGTTTAAAGTATCTGTTATCTTTTGCCCAATGCTGGAAGTGAAATAATAAATAGCTTTTGCATGGCTCATGTTCCAACACTTGTTAGCTTCTGTTTCTGACCCTCAAAGGCAGTTACATTCCTTAAAAGTTCCTTTCCTTAAAAGTTAAATTCCTTTGGTCTTCAATCCGTAATTCTGCCTATCTGCTGTATCTACTATTCCCCTAATCCTTAAATCTCTGCATCAGAAAAACTCCCACTGTGGTTTCATGGGAGATTTTCTTGCATTAAGACTACTCAATTAGGCAGCAAACACTCTGTAAGCAAATACATAATGCCCCTCCTCATTGTAGCAAGACTCACAAAGCAAGGATCTCACTTGGATTCTCACATCTTTCTTGACCAATTTTGAATCTGTAATGGTTTAGTATTGGACGTCAGAGATGCTGATTTCTGGTCTTTAGTACAAACTTAATGACAAAACATTGTTGACTATGAATAGGCTGCTTCACTAGAATCAGCCTGCCCAGACAACAGCTGGCTACAGCTGTAAAAATCCAGTCCTGCGCTGAAAATAACTTGCACAGTGAGAACCCTTGCTTTATTTGCTAAAGATATGTTCAACAGAAAATCTAGCTGGAGGATGTAAAATTCAAGAACTTTATCGTGAACAATTTGAGATGTGAGATTATGACAGTCCAGACTTGTGGCTGCCAATGGTGTAGCACCAGGGCAAAGTCAGCCCCCAGGTCCTGGGGTTTTGAAAATCAGCTGGCAGAGAAACAAGAAGGGGTTTCAACCCATCACAGTCCAGAGGGGATCAAACAATCTTTTAACAGAACATTTTTACAACCTTTGAAGACTTCACAGTGAACCCTATACAACAGCAGGTAATTTTTTCACTACCCTTAAGTCTATGGACAATATTTATCATACAAGCAAAATGCCAAACTTTTAAGGACTTTATAGTAAAATCCAGCATCTGTTTTGCTTGCTAGAAACATTCCCATTGGTTTTGTCAAAATCATTAATGAAAGCAAAGTGTTTCTTTAAAAACACCTTCCCTGGTATAAATGACTGCTCTTCCAATTTCTTCTTCTGTCTCTTGGATGTTACTATGGAGGCCTGGACCTCTCTTGTCTGAACACATGCTCCTCCTGCCAGTGCCTATTGTGGGCACGCTCTGTCTGTCTGTATTTTAGCAACTCTCCTGAAGTTTTAAAGTGTTTATCTTACACAGCTGAAAATCTCCTTCTGTTTCTTGAGCTTTACACTGGAATGCAGTGGAAGAGACCCAGGGCCTGTGGCCATCCAGATTAGAGGTTTTTGTAATAAGGTCCCTATATGGTTTTGTTAGAGACTTCAGCTCTGTCTCTGTCTGTCTCTACTCCTTGTTTGGGAGGCTAGTGGGAGGAGAAGAGCTGAAGGGGCTATATAACCTCAGAGCTTTCAGATCCAGAGTGCACCATCTCAGAGGAGTTATCTATCCCCAGCCAAGCACTGTCAGGGTAAGTGGCACTGAACCAGTAGCATGATTTACAGATTGCTGGAGGACTTCAATGAAATAGTGTCAAATGGAATCAATTCAGGAGGATGTCCTGCTGTGCTGTAGTTTGCTTAAGCAAACTTATTGGAATTGAATTGGTAAAATGCTTGTAGTATCTATACTGAATTGTTTTTATTTTATACCACATTTGAAATGGAAGGATTTCTACCTGATGATTTTGCTGATTCCACCAGCACTCCAGCAACTGTATAAAGACATAGTCTGTGTAATGTCACAGCTGGAATTACAGATATATTCATGTTTAAATGGACCTGTGTTAGTTTGGGACAGAACAGAGTTCCTGGAGGGGTACATAGTAGTGTTTCTCAGCAGGTTTGCTTCAGTGCTGTTAACTCAGTGTAAGGTGACATGAGTGTACTGGGGAATGTGACTGCAAGAAGCACTGGAAGTATGCAAATCAGCAGTCTCTAATGAGGATGTGTGTTTATTTGTCTTTGTCTCTATGTATATGAAACTACTGATCTGTAAAATGACAAACATTTCATTAAGGAACAGACTACACAGTATTTCTTGTGGGGCTGGAGTTCTCTTACTAGGTTGTTGTGGAGATTGATGAGGTGATTGGTTGGTTATCTTTAGACCTAAAGCAGGCAGAAGAAAGAGGCTAAATACTATATTAATTACTTGGGAGAAAAATATCCTTTTTGCCATAGTACTGAGTGACATTTTCCACTGTAAGATGTTGCTGTTGCATGCCATGGCAGTCCTGAGCTGTTAACTCACTGGCTGGCAGCAGAGCACTCTGTCTGAAATAATTCAGCTTTGATTTTTCGACTTTTTGTGCTTTATTACTAAATATGGTTTTCATTTAGAGTCCACTAAGCTCAGAAATGTAGCCTTTCCTGCCCCCTTCTTCCCCCTCCCCCAAGTGATTTTTGGCATCGCATTAGCTGCGTTGGTTTGAGCAAACCCCCTGACCTCAAACTCTGTTCCAAAAACAGACGGTTGAGAAGCCTATTTCCTAATTAGGAAATGGTTTGTCCAAACCAGTCTGTTCATTCATGTTAGATAACAACTGTACTCCATTCAGTAAATGTTTGAATATATAAATCTTGTTTTCCCAGGAGTTTAATGAATGCAAAAATTGCAACCTACTTTCCTTTCCCAATAATAATGATAAAATATCTGGAGTACATCAAGTTAGTTTTCCCTATCCGTGTCTTCTCCTGGGAGCTATGCCCATGCAGCCTGCAGGAGCAGGCAGGCCTGCAGCCATGTCTTGTGGCTGCCTGGCTGGAGAGAGACAGAGGATCTCAAAGGAAGGATTTGGGAGAACTGTCTGTGTTTGTCCCATCCGTTGTAGAGGCTAAACAGATTGTCGGCTCCCTTGCCCATCAGCCATGGCTCTCACTGACCCCATTCCCACTTCACCCTGTGCTTTCAGTATTCCTGTGGCAGAAGGATTTGGAGACTGCATGTGGAGCCAGCTGGTCTGTGGATGACAGCTGTCTCCTTTAGCTGTTAACACATTGCAATTTGTTGAACTCCGCGTGGAAGCCCGGGCTCAGAGCTAGCCAAGTGATTCCCTACCACACTATAAATTGTGAGCAAATAGTTCTTCTTGAGTTCTGGTATTTAGTGCTTGTTTTTGTAATTGACTTTAATACAAAGCCTTCAAAGCATTTTTATTACCCATATTATCTTCCTCTTGCCAGAGGAGGAAAACAGTTTCTTTTTACTGAGACAAGGAGCCAACATAAATTACTTTGCAACTCTACATGTAAATGCAGTTTATTAACTGCTTTGAAATGATGGTAGAGCATATGCTATGGCCTGTTTTTAAAACACATACTGTCCTTGCCTTCACTTTAGAGGCAGGTTATTTTTATTAAGTGACTAGTGGAGAGCTGGAAAAGGCTTTTTAATTTTGTTGTTGGTTGATTTTAATTTGGAACATTTCTTCTCTTTTAAAAGGTTAAATGTAAACTTAATTGACCATCTTCACCCAGTAGGTTACTATCTGCATCAGGACAATATCTCTGGTACATGCATAACATTAAATCTAGTCAGTTTTTGGGAAGCCCAAGACTGAATGGGGAAGACTGAAGTGCTCTTACCTTTGACAGCTTTCCACATGTGTGAGGATTTTGTCAGGGTGATAAAAGAGCAGGGGAAGTTGTGCTGAATCTGATGCAAAGGGATCCTTGTTTTTGCAGCTGTCAGCCCAGCATCCTCTTTTATCTCCTACCCCAGCTATGGCTTTCTGTGACCAAATTTAGATAAACATTTGCTCCTCCCTGATCTGCCTGCCCATGCCGCAGGACTGGAATTCTCCTCTGGAATCCCATGGATAATCTTAAGTCCATACATCCCTCTGGCAGACGTGGTAGAAACCTCTCATGGTTTCAGAAGGAAGCCCATTCGCTCGTATAGTCACGCAGGGACCTGGTCATTGCCAGACTGGTGCCATGCCTCTCTTGCTGGTGCTGGTCTTCAGGGGTGGGTCTGCTACCTGAGTATGGGGCTACTGGGGTGCTGGAAATTTTTACGTATTTGGGGTTTTTTCTGTGTGTTTTTAAATTCTTTTCTGCTGTTTTCACAGGGCTGTTTTCTGTCCAAAGGGCCTGAGGACACTGACATAGAAGATGTGTGAGGAAGAGGACAGCACTGCCCTTGTTTGTGACAATGGGTCAGGGCTCTGTAAAGCCGGCTTTGCTGGTGATGACGCTCCAAGAGCAGTTTTCCCTTCCATTGTGGGTCGTCCCAGGCACCAGGTGATGAACTGCTTTGGTTATTCCATGCTAGGCTTGTAGAAGGCTTTGCTGCACCATCCCCAGGTCTCCACTCCAGGGCCACCTTTGCTGTGTCTGGGGCTGGAGGATTTGTGTAACAGTATTTCCAGGCAAAAGGAATCCAGCAGTACGCTCACCTGAGTCAAAGCAGGTTTCTTGCCTTGTGAGAGGAATCCTTCCAAAATTTGTTACTCCCTTCTATTCCCTCCTTTCCCTGCCCATTAATTTTGGATCACCCAGAGAAATTTATGAATAAAAGCAGTTAAAAAACCAAACCAAACCAAACCAAAAAGCCCAATACAGAAGTATCTGGAAATTTTGACTGCCCTAAAAGCTGATGGTAGATGATGTGTGAAAATCTAAAGGAGGAAGGAGAAGTTTTCAGTCAGCTTCTTGACTTTATTCATTTAACTGTATCACAAATGGGCACCTGCCTAGGTTTAGTTTCTTTAGCTTCAAGGTTTACATTCGAGTATATGATGCATTCCACTCAGTTTTAATAGCTGGCAAAATGCATTTATTATCTGAGCTGTTTAAGAGAGTTTCTGAGCCAGATCATCATTAATATGAATTAGAGCAGCTTGGCTAGGCCACAACAAACTAATCCACCTAATTGCTTCTGTGCCATCTAAAGCCCTGGTGAAGTGGGAAGAGGTGACTGGTTGTAAAATGTGGCACTTGATATACCCAGCAAAAGTGGTTTTTTGTTCTTCAGGGGTTTTCAAATAACAGCTAGGGCTGGAAGTCTAATTGAGGCTTCTGGGTATTACCATGATCTAAAAAAGCATATTCAAGCACCAGTATCAGTATGAATGCTATTACTGCTCAAACCCAAGCCATACCGTCAGAGTGGAAACAAATACAGGTTTCTAGAACCTTTCTTTCCTGGTCATGTATCAAAGTTAGTATTAGTCCCCCGAAGGATTGCCCCACCAAAAATTGCAAATCCAAGTTGTCTTTTTTGAAGACAGAGAGTTAGAGATGCCAAGGTTTGGAGTCTATAACGACTTAGTTCTGATAAGAGTATTATGCACACAAAGCAACCTACTACATACTATTTTTTCCTAGTATTTCTGACTTTAACATATAGACTAGTATATATCCGTATTTTCTAGCTTCTGGTCCATGGACCATCTCTACAGGATCCATGAAAATACCTTAAAAGAAACCTGCAGCAGTAGACTTAAATTGTCTGTCTCTAATGGCACTATTGTAATATTCAAATGGAAGATTAAAAAATGTTGAAGTTTAAGCTTTGGGAAATATAAATTGTGTATTGCTCTGACTTGACCCTTAGATGGCACAACATACTTTCTGCTTTTACTCCACTTTATTACAGTTTAGTAGACAGTTCATCCCTAAATAGTAACAAATATTAAAACAACCTTATTTTTCCACTTTATCTTGATGCATTTAAGACTGTACTTGTTCTGTTTACTTAAACTGTAGTGGAAACATGAACTGCAGAGATTTAAGTGAACTAAACATTTCATTTTGGCAATTAGAGAACATCAAGTAATTCTTCATTAGTATTCATAAAGTATTTTGTAACTAAAATAACTGGCAACTGGATTTATTTCACAGCTACTTTGTGCCACCTCCCCCTGAGACACTAACTCTATTTGTGTTATTTTATAGGGTGTGATGGTTGGTATGGGTCAAAAAGACAGCTACGTAGGTGATGAGGCTCAAAGCAAGAGAGGAATCCTGACCTTGAAATACCCCATAGAACACGGAATCATCACAAACTGGGATGACATGGAGAAGGTATTTCAGCTTTAAAAAGTTGATGTGTATTACTGGTAAACGGAACTTCTTGAACCAAATGTTTACAGGATACCCACTAAATTTTAGGTGAAAGCATCATGTTATCAAGTACGGTTTAATGAGAAGCTTGTTAACTGCGAAGGTTAACTTGCATCTAAAGATGAAGTATCACTAGGAGTACATCAAAATAGTTATTGGAAGTTTTTTTACTGCAGTTTGATCTATAAATCTTTCCTAATTACTGGGGGGGCCGGGAAGTAAAAGTAAGAAAAAGCAGTATAGAAATATCTTTAATTTACCAGTAACGAAATGCAGTTTAGGAGGTTACCTGTTTCTGCAAAAATGCAAAGCATGTGTAATTCTGATGTGAAGGGCACTGTGTACAAATGTACTTTTTAATGCTGGAAAGATGAGCAATGTTGCAGTGTGATGCACCCATTTCAGAGCCAGCGTTTGGATGAAAGGCTTCCAGAACCGTGTTTATAGCCACAGTCTGTAGGGTTGATATAATTTCTAAGATGGTATCATTGTTCTATTATGCTGTGGAAATAAGAATATTTGGAACAGTTGGGAAACCAAAACATACTGCAAGTGTGTGGAGTCACACAGAACTCACTGACTCTCATACCATTGTAGGTTTTACTTGGGAGCAAAATCTTTCAGATGCCTAACATATTAACCAGCCCCTAATCACTGCCAGCTTTTTGGTCTTTAGAAGTCTGATGGCTTTACTTCTTGTTGGTTTATTAACCTCCTCATTGTGGTCCACTTGGCCTCAGATTTTTATAGCTGGTAGGAATGAGCTGTGCAGAAATGATAAACACAAGCTGACTTTCATCCTCACAAACCTTTTGCCTTCATTTCTTTTTATGAGTTCCTGGGCTGGCTTCTACAAACCAAAAGGTGAAACTGTCTTCAAGAGACACATAATCTATTGAATTCTACTGTGTAGGTCTGCATATGTTCTAGAGTTGTTCTGGAACTTTCATTCATTATTGAAATAGTGTTGCTGGAATCAAGACTGTCTTGCTCTGTCTCTACTGTTAGAATAACAGTAAGTTATTTTCACTAACTTACATGACCTTAAAATAGGTCATGTATTACTAGCAGTAAAATCTGAGGATAGTCTTTCTACAGTTATGTTGGTAATCTCTATGGAGGCAATAAGAACAACTACATGAGAAACATTACTAGCCTGTATCTAGTGTTTTAAGCAGAGTGCTGGAGCACAATACCTGTCTGGAAGTGATTCTGAGCTGATGGTGTTTCTTTCCTTTGGCTTCTCCCATTGCCCTCAGATCTGGCATCACTCTTTCTATAACGAGCTGCGTGTTGCACCTGAAGAACACCCAACTCTGCTGACTGAGGCTCCACTGAATCCCAAAGCCAACCGAGAGAAAATGACCCAGGTAAGATCACACTAAAGCTGTGGAATAATTCCAGCTTTGTGAATTCAACAGGATGTGAACTTCATCATTTCAGTTAGTCATGCTCTCCAGTAGTCTGTCTCTCTTGGTTATGGAAGATGAAAAGTGCACAGTGACCACCTATTATATCTGCATGTTATTATATTTACTTTAGAAAATCAGTGTATCTGCTTTCAATGTGAGTACTTCAGCCTGTCCAAGCTTTATGTCATCTTAATCTGGTTTTATGGTCAGGCCTATTACACAATTATCTTTAATATGTGCATGTGTCTATAATAATATATTAAAGATATAGGCGAGGTACAGCTAGATGTCTACAAGACATCTACAGAGATGTCTTGTAGAATAAATATTGTTTGATTTAGATTTTGTACTTTCCTTCTTTGTTATTACCAACCACCAAGAAATACAAAAATCTTGTCTTCACCCTCTCAGTAAAGTGCTTCAACCAAGCAAACCCCCCTAGTGTTAAGACAATTATTTTAATTGTGTTTCAGATTATGTTTGAGACTTTCAATGTTCCAGCCATGTATGTAGCTATTCAAGCCGTCCTGTCCCTCTATGCTTCTGGACGTACCACAGGTAGGCCTCCGAGGAACATGACACAGATGTTTGAAAGAGTTAAGTGTGTTGAAGTCCAGCTGGGAATGAAACGTGTGTTATTTTCTCAAAGGAATTGTGCTTGACTCTGGGGATGGTGTCACCCACAACGTGCCAATTTATGAGGGCTATGCCTTGCCACATGCCATCATGCGCCTGGACCTGGCTGGCCGTGACCTGACAGACTACCTCATGAAAATCCTGACAGAACGTGGCTACTCCTTTGTGACCACTGGTAAGGACCGGCTGCTGTCTGAGGAGGAGACTTGTTTAATGTACACTGTTTCTAGTGGCCTTAGAAGGACTAGCAGTGGTTCTGCAGTTGAATAGACACAAGAAGGAATCCAATAGGAAAGTCCCCTGTAAGACTAGCAGAGGATATGTTTAAAAAATGGGGAGGGTGTTGGAGGATCCTGTCAATATGTCCAGGTGCTTCCTGAGTGCCATTCTAAAGACTGAATCCTCTTGACAGCGGAGCGTGAAATCGTCCGTGACATCAAGGAGAAACTGTGTTATGTGGCCCTGGACTTTGAAAATGAGATGGCCACTGCTGCCTCTTCCTCCTCTCTGGAAAAAAGCTATGAGCTTCCTGATGGTCAGGTGATCACCATTGGAAATGAACGCTTCCGCTGCCCAGAGACCCTTTTCCAGCCTTCTTTCATTGGTAGGTTGAATGATTGTTCTGCTTTGATAAACTGCACATGAATATAAAGTTTCTATTTTCTTTTGATTGTGTCCCATTGCTAACTCAGTCAGACCTAGAGACAAGTATGTCCTGGCACCCATTATAAAATAATCTTTTAGAACAGCACTATTAATATGGTAGGAGAACTTTAGGTCAAACAATTAGACAAAATGCTTTCCCAGAATAAACCCTGAATGTTTACCCTGGCTTCTGGCATTGGGCCTGTGCCGTTTGCAGTTGGCTACTACAAGAAGAGTGGCCACAAAGTCACTTTTCTAAATAGTGTGAGGATTGTGGTGGGGCAGGAAACACTACTTCTGTTTTTCAAAAACACAGCCAGCCATGAAGGCAGACGTACAGCCGTGAAGGCAGACTTACAGCCATGAAGGCAGACGTACAGCCATGAAGGCAGACTTACAACAAGGTCACACAGAAAGCCAGTGTTGGTTCTATCGATCGGCAGAATTTCAGCTCAGAAACAGATGAAGTAGTTGCATACTTAGAGGTATTAGGACATATTGTGACTGTTCTGGCTCTGAGTTGGCTAACTACATAAACAAGGAAAAAAAGGAAAAAAGAAGGGGGGAAAAAAAGAACACAAATGATTCCAAGACCATATAAGGAGTTCTTAGGACATTCGAGTTTCCCTGCAAAAATCTAATGGAAACTTTACTATTCCACACCCCCAGCTTTCTTTTTAAGGAGGAGTTGTGTGTGGAAAGGGGAGGGGAGAGGAGGGCTGTACACCAAGGAACTACTAAGCAAATAATTTGGGCAGCTGCAGAATGACTTTCCAGGTTTCCACAGCTCTGAAGACTGATGTCCAAAGAGAAAATGAAGTTCATGTTGTCAGTTCTGTCTTAATTTTAAGTCTCTGTATGGAGTTGCTTTCTCAGAGGTCTTCTATGCCTTCCCCAGGCATGGAGTCTGCTGGCATTCATGAAACCACATACAACAGCATCATGAAGTGTGACATAGACATCAGAAAGGATCTTTATGCCAACAACGTACTGTCTGGAGGCACTACAATGTACCCGGGTATTGCAGACAGGATGCAGAAGGAAATAACTGCTCTGGCTCCCAGCACTATGAAGATCAAGGTATGGTGCAATCACTTGTAGACTTTTTGAGTTGTCAAGTACAAAGTCCTCAAAAATCTAGTGAAACATAGCAACACTTTACAAAGTAAGTGCTTTGTACATATTTTGAGTCGTGTTTGTAACTTCTAGCAAATAATCACCACCTGGTGACTTTGGTGCTGGAAGAAGAGAGCCTTCCCTCCTCTCCTTTCCTTGTTCACAGTGTATTCTGCAAACTGCCCTAGCATGGCCAAAGAATAGTATGGATCCAGCAGCATAAATTTTCCACTGGAGCTATATGTGAGCTTCTTCAGCTCTTTTTGGCTGATGGAGATGGGATAGAGGAAATGCTGGTTTTGTCCCTGGCCTGCAGGTTCAGAAAAGAGCCTCTGAAAAGTCAGTCTTCCTTCTGCTGCTTCAGATCTTCCATTCCTTGCTTTACAAACATTTTATCAGCTGTACCAATAAGAGTGCTCCATAGGTCACTCATTTTTCCAAGCCCTCCTGGGCTACAGTTATGTTTCCAGAGCAAGTATCTCTTCTTTTCTCATATGCAACCATGAAAACATGAATGCACTACTCCTACTCGGCAGACTGGCTCGGGCAGAGAAATTGAGAATTTAGACTCAAATAACAACTTCTTGACTTTACTGCTTGTAGCAGTGGCTAACTGTAATGCCAAGGATGACACTAGCACAGAGATACAATGTTTTTCTTACTATCAAATATCACTGCTTTCATAATTTTTTATAAGAGACGTATTTTATTCACTGTAGACTGTTGTACTTAATGCTTTTATTTCTTAAACAGATCATTGCTCCTCCTGAACGTAAGTACTCCGTCTGGATTGGAGGCTCTATTCTTGCCTCCCTTTCTACTTTCCAGCAGATGTGGATCAGCAAACAGGAATATGATGAAGCTGGCCCATCCATTGTTCACCGCAAATGCTTTTAAATTGCTTGATCTTTATATGCCTCCTTAGTGTATTACTGTGAATGTATTCAGGAAAATACATTCTTATAATTTCATTCCATAAATCCTTCATCGTAACTACTCTAATTAATTGGATACTGTATTTTTTTAATAAATTTTAAATGTGCTATAAAATTGCTGCTCCTATTTAAAAAAGAAAAAAAAAGAAAGCAAAATAAGAACATGCATGTGTAGAGGTACCACTACAGCTGGGTTGAAGCTCCATCTTGTGACGCGAATTTGTTACTACACTCTACTGGGCTTCGTAGAAAAAGAGGTACCTTCTGCTCAGTGATACCAATGATAGAAAATGCTCAGCTATCAGGCTGCACAATGTCAAAGTTTAGCCTCCGAAAACATTTTAGCCTTCAAACAGAAGCAGTCTTGATTTTTCCAAAGTTCTGGGCAGTACCAAAGGAGCATAGGATCTGTTTGATATCAGGATGAGCATCTGCACTCTGCTTTGCATCTGCTCTATCCAGAAATGTTATCTACCCACACCACTTCTTAGCTCACAGCTGTCACGCTGGAAATGATAATTTCTTACAGTTTGTGCCCCAGAGGTGTACAATGCATCTACAACAATTCTGTGTGTTTTCTCTGAAGAATCCATTCTTTTGGGAGCATATCTAAACACTAATATTAGATTGGACACATGACTTTCCTACCATATGCCCTCAGGATGAGGGCAGCCTATTATTTTTATGCTGTAATTTCTGGGAAGTTCTAAAGGGTAATTAAGCTGGCTTAATACACTTTCTTTTCAAAACTGGGTTGCTTTTTTGGGGGAGGGGTAATGTAATCAAAGTAGATAATTTAGACGGTTTTCTTTTTCTGTGATATTTTTTTCTGATTCCATTTATAGTCTTAAATAAATCAAAACTGACACTCAACTAGAAGTATATGCATAGCAGCTGAAGCCAGTGATACTGTATAAAAGTATATAGATGAATAAAGAGTTCTCTGAGACAGACCTGAAAAAGGTCAGTTCTAAGGAACTTGTTGCAATCTGTATGCATTAAAGGATACTATTTATTTTTGTTACCTATTTTCCTGTCTAAACTCAATAGTTTACCTCACTTCTCTGTTACGTGTTATCTTTCAAACTGTAAGCTCTTTGCAACAGCACCTGTTATTTACCATGTCTGAATAACCCCTGGGTTCCAGATCCTGTCCAGCTTCTGACTGTTGGCACAAGTTCTAAACTTTTTTGTACCAACCTTGTTATTTAAAGTACAGACCACCTAGATTCTTGGAACAGATACTAAATAAACTCTTGTAAGAGCAAATAACTTTGTATGGTTCTTCCTTCTAACTCCATCTAGATCTTTTTATCTAGCACTAGACAGATCCAGGGAATCCCTTTCAGGATAAGAACTTTTTTCAAATAAAGGTTTCTACTGGAGGGTTTCTGGAGAAGACCTATTTCTCCAGGGGATTCTGATATAACTCTCATATTCCAAGATGTGATGAGGTTCAGCTGTCAGGTAAAGGACTTGTGTCTTCCTGAGTATTTTCTGCTTAATAACTTAGCCAAGAATTGAGCTATACAAGGATGGAACAGAGAAAAGGATGGAAAAAAATTAAAAGTCACCCATCTGATGAATTTGTCTCTACTATATACAAGACAAATTCATGGAAGCAGTGAAGATAAATTTAAGTAGCTAGAGGTCACAAAAAGCCAACCACTGTTAAAAATCTCTCATTCTCAGAAAGCAATTAAAGCCAACAAGTGACAAAAGAAACATTATTTATTTCAACACGATTACTGTTGTTCGAAGTTAAGTTTATTGTGTTTTGTAGGTGATTTTTTTTAGAGATTCAGGGGTAATGCCACTGAAATCCATCTTGAAAGAGCAACAAAATAACTCTAACAGGCTAGAGCAATAAATATCAAACCATTCAATCTAAAATGTATAAATATAAAATTCATTTCTGAAAATGTAGGAAAAACAGGGATCCATTTTTCTGTTTTGGCCATTTGTACAGTAGCATAGTGATTGTCCATCCATATCACCTCAGATCCAGCACAATTATCTTTATGTCTTTCCCGACCACATGGGAACACGGCTGCAGAAGAAGTCAACCCATTAGTCATAAAAATAATTTTCAGTAAAACAGCATATGAGGGCTATTGTTTTCTTTCAATTTTCTGAGCCTGCTTAATACTACGCCTATCTATCAAGCTTTGACTCTACCTGTCACTGCCTTTTCCACAGTCAAACCTGACCATCACAGGTATAGAATGCTGAATAAAGCAAGGACTGCAACATCCAATCAGAAATAAATTTCTAAGTATAATATTGTTCTGTGTTTAGCCTGTGAAACAGATTATAGTTCTGTGCTATCCGTTATGTAGCACAGCATGGGATACCTCAAATGGAGAGGGAAGGTGGTGTGTCATGGATTGGAAGAGGTGCATGGGGGACAGCAGCAACAAAGGGTGAACTCTGTTCTCCTCCTGCAGTAGCTTCAGATGTGTTTGCCCATATGATGGCTTTTTTTTTTTTTTTTATAGTATTTAGGACTAGATTGTGTCTTTAGAGGCTGTGATCTCACTGGTTTTGTTGGAAGATCCACATGTTCTGGGGGTTGTACTTGAAAAGATATTTGTGTTCGATATGCAGTACCGGCAGCGTGTCTAATGATTATAAATCAGCTCAAATGGGCAGTAACTTAATTAATGAACTAAGTCTGTAAAGGGCCACTGAAAAGAACCCATCTGGAAAAAAAAAAAGGTCTTTAATTTTTTCAGAGTTGGATGATCATCTCATTATCCCTATAGTCAATGATAAAAGAACAAAAAAAGAACCCATATTTCTCCTCCTTTTGAAGAACAATATTGACATTCTGAGAGTCCTTCAACAAAGAAGTAATTTCCAATATCTTTCAGCGTTACTTCTCTGCATCTGATCATTTTAGTTTGAGCTATATGAGATGTTCTGTATTTGAAGTGAGACAATGAGTTTTCTTAGAAAATAAAATCTTCATTATTCAAAGGTAAAAATTGTTTTCTTCTGGACGACGGTGACTTTTCTGATAATTCTGACTGACTATACTGCTCAGTCTTACATATAGGATATTATGCTAATTAACACATCAAAAGATCTGGTAGTTACTGAGAAGCTGGTGGAAAATTATGGGCAATGAAGGAATTATGGGTAATGAATTATTAACATGGAGGAAAAATGATAAAGAAATCTAATCTGAAGCACATACAATTTCTGCTTGCAGCAGAACCATGGGCAAGAATTTGCACAGTCAAAACCATGCTGGATTATATACTTACATTAAACAACCTAAGGTCCTTTGTATGTGGGTGGAAACCTTTCTTTTTACAAGCAGAAACTTCTAGCATGCCAGCATTAGTAAGTCTGAAGATGCCAGTGCTGGAAAGCAAAAGATGAAATTCCTGTTACATACTGTTCCCATAATATGTCTCCACGGTTTCACACAGAAATTGCTTAGCTTAACAGAAGGACGACAGAATGGTACTCAGTGACCTTTGATACACAGGAGCCAAGGCTGAGCTGGATTCTTAAAAGTATTTGAAATAAAGGGGAGTTGTATGCTTGTAAAGGAAGACATGATGAGGAGAAGGGGAGAGAAAAAAGAAAGAGAAATCACAGTGCTGGAGATGTTCCCATTAGTCAGGTTAGGCCAAGTAGCCTTAGTATCCTAAGGGCCGAGGCTAGTTTATGCAGAAAGATAGAAACCAGAAACTTAGGTGTTCTGGATTGCATTTCACTCACTGAACTCTAGAGGGGCAACTGAAAAAGACAGCAGCCTTTAAACTAGCTGTGTAAATGACTTGTGAGAGTACACGTTCTTCCCACTCTTAGGTAATTAAGTAATACAAAGCACTAGAAAATGCACTGCTGCATATGTATGACCTAATACTGAGTGTTGACTAAACCGGCAGAAACCCCAGCCCTTCTGAGAAGAACATTAATACCTAATAGCTACAGGACAGCACCTGACTGATAAATATTACAGATAGTAGTAACAGGTTCGAGTTGGTTACAGAGTGTCAGCATAAGCTACGAAAGAAGTTTGGAAGACCAGAGATTTGAAAATGTATGCAGATGTACTCTAGGTTACAAACCCTAGTGCTTGTGCACCTGTCACTCAGCATGTACATAGAGCTGTGCTACCTGAACAGCTCATATAGGAAATTACGGAACCAGAGTGGGATTCACAGAAGTTATTTACAAAGGTGGAAGGACAGAAAGGAAGGCTGAAGGAATGTTTTAGCCCTGGGGTCTTGAAGTGCCACATGCTCCAAAACAGTATCACAGAATTGTTGAGGTTGGAAGGAACCTCTACAGGTAGTCCAACACCCTGCTCCAGCAGAATCACCTTAAACAGGTTACCCAGGACCATGTCCAGTCAGGTTTTGAGTGTCTCCAAGGGTGTAGACTTCACACCCTCTCTGGGCAACGTGTTCCATTATAAACTTTCACATTTATATTTACACATTTTCATTTATTTTCCAGAAATTATTGTTCGTATTTTATGAAATACAAGAAGAGGACCTTATCAAAAATGTGCTCTTTACCTGTCTACTCCCCAAACTGCATTTTTCAGATCATCCTATAGAAATACGTCTAACCCTTCCACTTCCTTCATCAGACAGGATGAAGCTAGGTCTGTGGAAGGGCGCTGACACTGAGGTCTCCAGAAGAACAGCTCCTGTCATTACTACCCAGTTGAGAGGAGTATGAAAATAAATAAGGTTTAAAACCTTGGGCTGGGAAAGGAGGAGGAGGAGAGAGGAGCCAGGAACAATATTGTGCGCAGAGACTAATTGGAATGCAAGTTTAAGCAACTTAAAGAAAACAAACTCACAATACAGGATTCCTGCCCTCCATCCCAGTTGACATGTGCTGTTTGCACTTGGTCAGACTTTGCAATAAGGAGCAGGGGAAAATATCTAAATATTACTTAGAAAAATCAGAACTCACTCATTATGCTTTGGTGAACAAACAATTGCAATGGCCTCTGGCAACATTAGCTGATAAGAACAATGAGTATGAAGATCAACACTGGATAGGAATGCAGTTTGTGTTGGATGTGTCTACAAAAAGAAAGGGAAAACTCAACATCACGAAATATTTCTTACAAATCAAGG